TAATTTCTTTATAATTGTTAAGTATATATAGTCATGAATCATCAACTAAAAAGGTTTCTTACACACATGATTGCTTTTGCACCTTGAATAAAGTAAGGCTTATTGTTCCAGTAAAAGTTGTTTTTCATGCCAAATCAAATGGATTAAAGGGACAGTAAAATTAAAACTCATGGATATACCTTTTCTGGGCTCAAATGCCCAAGTATAACAATCATAGCAAAAAACAAGATGATATTCTACCATCCTGCCTGATCTCTCGCTATGTATAGTTTTCCATAAATTCCTTCTCTAATTCCAGTTCCATTTATCAAAGTAAGCGACAAATCAAAAGAGACATTTTTGAATAAAGACATGTCAAAAGCTTCAAATAACATGATGGATCTCTTTTTTGGGTCTGTGTGACAGAGGCCAATAGAAAGGTTGGCAATTAATATTAAAACGAAGATGATGGAGGAGGAGGACGAGCCATTGTGAAAGTTGAGAGGAAGAGAAATTGTTAAAAAAAAATCCGCATGGATTAGGTATTTTTGGAACTATTTTTCATAAATGGTGTCTAAGAAAAAAATTACTGTAGTTGTTTGTTGTAGTGTTATTAAAATTTTAAATATTATTGGAGTATTTTTAAATTTTAAAAAAAATTACGCACCCATCACCCCCTCCCTCCTCTTTTCTTCTCCTTCCTTCTTCCTCCTCCCTCCTTCCCTCCCCTCTCTTTACCCTAGACTCCTTCCCCCTTTGGCAATGAGACGCTCCAATCACAACCAGCCCCCTAGTTGTGACCAGATCTGACAAGATATGGTCACTATCGAAGGTGGCGACCCTTCTATAAGGGAAGGAGAAGATTTTGCAAGTGAGGAAAAAGGGAGGGAAGGAGAGAAGGGGAGGGAGGAGGAGAAAGGAGGAAAGGGGTGGTAAGGGGGGTTGATAGTAATGGTGGTGTTGGATGATAGTGGATACTAGTAGATATTATTTTATTTTTATTTTTTTAGTTGTATTTGAGAATATATATATATATATATATATATATATATATATATATATATGAGTTAGGCGTTTTTAGAATTATTTTTGGAATGTATTACTATAATATCTACCTTGTATATGAAAAGAAAGCCAAGTTACTGTAGCTAACCATCTTTTTGACACATGTATTGTATATATTTTTGACAAGTGGACCTTTGATTATTTTACCTAAATTTTTCCTTCCCTTTTTTGATTCAATTGGGCTAAAGGATTAAAATATTTTTTCTTCTTGAGAAAATCAACTCCATCTCTTCTTTTTCTTCTTGCAGTAACTACTGTCATCCCTCACCTTTTTTATTTTTTATTTTTTATTTTTTAAAACTAATCTAACTAAGATTGTTGCCATGTTCTTTTTTTTTGTCAAGATGATAACTACTTAGCAAAAAGAATTCTTTATTACTTTTTATTCCATTTTACATTTTCTTTTCTTCCTTTTTTCTTCATCTCTAATCTTGCATGTTTGCTCTATTTTTTTTATCATAATGTTATAGCCAACTAGCATTTGTTTGTTAAATTTATAGGATGATGTTTTATTTGGTAGTTCTTCATGGATAAAAGGTGAAATTTTAAAATATGTAAAAAAAATTTAGAATTCATTTTATACCAATGATCATTTTCTATGAATAATAGAACAAAAATTCATTCTTTTATTTTCTTCTCCTATGATTTGATTTCTTACTTCACATTTTGTTTCCTTTTCTTTGTTTTTTGGTTACATTTTGTAATTATCTACAATTTTGTGTATTTGTTTAAGAGAAAGATATATCATGTGATGTTTTCACCAAGATAAATCTAGCTAGGCATTCTTGTACCTCCGTTTTTCTCCATTTCTTTCTTTTTGCAATTACTTTATGGCCTATTAAATTTAATTGAAGGATCCAATAAGATTTTGTATATATTTAAACTAAAGTTAATTTTTGTTTGTTTTTTAATTACTCAAGTGTTGTAGTATGAATTGGATTGGTATAGAAGGATTGCCGTCGGTGGTGGAAGTCACAATTGAGGCTTTCGGCCTAGAGTGTGACTTGACAAAAAATTGTTAGAAATTTCAATTTTGATTAGGAAGATGTTTTTGCAATAAAAAAATAGTTCAATTCTAATTTGTATATGTAGACCAGGAAACATGGCAATTCATATTTTTATCTAACTTTGCTATTTATATTCAGGAGCTGCATGTTAATGTTGTCACCTTTAAGCAGAATTTAAATAGATGAACTGGATTCTTCTATCAAAAGAAAGAAAAATATGAAAGTTTATAGTAAGCTATATTGATGTTGAAGATTGTGCCATGTTTTAGTAGCTTCCTAAACTTTTTCTCATTATTAAAGTACTAAAAGTATTACGACTGCTTTTGATTTAGTTTTAACTAAAACTATACTACTATTAATACACCAATGCACTTGTAGTGTATTAAGTTTCTCTTCTTTTTGGGTATCATCATAATAGTGGTTCAAAAATCTTTATTCAAATCACAATAAATAGAGAGGTTGACTTCATAGATGGAATTTCTCTTCACAACAAATTTTGAGAAAAAATTTATTTATACTCCATATTGTGTTAATTGTGTTCCTACAATAAACAAAAACTATACGATAAAAATAATAACGAAAGTATGATTAACAAAAATGAGAGTTCAAATAATATTTGTCAAATTTAATTGCTTTAATGCTCAATTTTTCTCCTATATTTCTATTCATTCATCATGTGTCAAAATAATTTGATGCTATGCATTCGACGGACAGTGGGCATTTTGGTCATTTTACACAGCGCGTAACTTTGATTGCACACGGCGTAACTTTGTTTGCACAACGTGTAACTTTAGTACAAAAATTTACGGGCCCCACACACATTGTGAAAATTGATATACAATTTGTAATCTGGACCGTACATTTTTTTTGGCCAAAATCTGGCCGTTGACTGTTTAGGTCCCTGCCCCCTTGTCCGCATTCGACTAAATTTGTAGGGGGCCCAAACTGTGCTTTGCACAGTTCAAGTACCTCTAGTTATAGTTGAAAAACAATCCAATCCAAGTGGAGATATCCTGAGGGAAGGTAGTGGTTGGCAACCTACTAGAGGGAAAGTTGTTGGAACTTGGAATCTGTTCACAGACCATTCGCTTTAGTTTACTCACTAAATTTTTTGTTCAAATACTATTATAGTTAACTAATTAAATGATTGAAAGATTATGCAACACTTTTTTTTAAAGAAAATTAATTAGCATAAGAGATTCACAAATTGCTTCAAAGATATTTAAACTAAAAATCATCTATCTTAATTGCTGACAACAATAAAGAAGACTAATTACCAAAAAAATGAAAGAAAAAATGAAGCACATTGATCACCAATAAAACTTGTAATTGCCAGGAAAACAATAAACGAACAAAATGAAAAATGGTATTGATAAATCGTGCTTGTGTAATAGTTATTTTGCCCCTAAAACTATAAGCATGTGTGATCACGCCATATTTTTAGTGCAAAAAGTTTTCTGAAATGGGTTTTGAGACTAAAATGGTGTAATTTGCATATGTGAGGGACGAACTTGTATCATTTTATAAGTGAGTGAGTAAATAACTATAAATGCAATACGCAAAGGGCTATTTGTATAGTTTTTTCTTAATTTAATTATGTTTTGAAAAGTTTACCACTTTCAATTTTTTTTTTAGTTTGAAACGAAACAAAAAAAAAGAAAGAAAGAAATTTGGCGTTGATTTGGTAACAAATTATTCTAACTTTTATGGAAAACAACTTTAAAAGTTCCTGTTTAACAAATTTCTTAAAAACAATTAAATTTTTTTAAGGTGCCCCTTTTATTATTTTTTTTAAAAAAGTCATAATCCATTGTCATAATTTGCATTAATAGCAGAAGATATATCAAACTAACATGCAGAAAGAATAATAGATCTGATGCAATAGATATAAAAAATTAGGAATAGATTTTAAAATTAAAAGATACCACGACGAAATAACCCAAAATGTTTTATATCAGATGAATCACAACTGCAGCTCCATTCTATGCATGGCAGTATTCTGCGTCTGTCTTGAACTGTCAGCTTTGATGTTAAACAAACTTGGCTCATAGAGAAAGTTAGATTTGACACAACAGATTTGAGAATTTTAGATCTGACAAAACAAATTTTAGAAATTTCAGATCTAATAAGAAAAGTATCAAAAAAATTCAAAACTTTCAAAAAAGAAATCTAAGGAGAGAACAAAACTCCTATCACTAAGAAATTTAGGAGAGAGAGAACAGTTCTATTAAACAAAACTTAAGAAAAGCTGCTATTTAAACAAAATAAGAAAAAAAGAAAGAAATTAGAGGGATGGCCCTCCTCCCCTGTGGGAGGAAGAAAGTTGGCTGCAAGAGGAAAGGGTTGGAGAAACGGCAGGGGAGATGCCTTGATCCAGTTCAGTTTTTTGATCCAGTATTGGGCCCATGTGCCAAAGTGGTCATAAATATTTTGATCAAAATAAATTTGCTCTCCACATGATTACAGTGCTGCCATTTGTCACCTGGTGGATAATACAAGGTCTTTTTTTTATTTTATTTTGTCCTAAACTAAAAGAAATTGCACTATGTATAATTTTTTTAAATTTCATTAATTTCATTTTAAATTTTATACATGTGACATGCATTCAAACCTATTATTAGTTTATAAAATATTAAACTAAAATAGTTTACCGTATAAAAAAAGTTATGTTAATCACATTAGTCATGAATCATATCATCTTATAAAATAAGCCCCTGCAAAAATAATACAAACGTTGACCGTGTAACAAACAAGTCATACTATTGTTAAATGTGATAACTGCAGAGATCATGGCAGCATTGATCAAAGTCCTGAAGCGGTTCAAAAGAGCTTCGACATGCAAAGGAGAAGTTGACAGAGCTTCACTTCTATGTTCATGACAGGGTAACTGCAGAGAGCCCCACATCTGTACTAGTTGCTCAAGCCAACACTACTAGCAAATCACCCACGATGTTCGGGGCAACCTACGTCTTCGATGACCCGATGACACTGGGACCTGAGCCTAGTTCCAAGATCATTGGTCACGCCCAGGGCATATCCAGTTCGGCTTCGAAAGAGGAAGATGCTTCACAAATTGGCATCATGAACTTGGTATTCAACGATGGCAAGTTCAATGGCAGCGCCCTTAGCGTTCTAGGTGATTATCCCTTCTTCCAGAAATACAAGGAGATGCCAATAGTAGGTGGTTCTGGGGCTTTTCGATTGGCCGGTGGAATAGTTACAGCAATAATCTATACTTACAATGATACCACCCAGAATGAAATTATCGATTTCCACGTCCTCATTATTGACCTTGATTTGATGCCATTTGTTGCTCGTAATTTTCTTGTAGTTTTCTTTGTTGTATAACAAAGATTTCATGTTAAGGATACAATCCTTGGATGATACAGTTTCCACACTTAAATCCATAGAAATACAAGTTTTCTCACTTAACTACAAAATGCAAAATTCTACTAGAATCCTAACTATTTAGTTCCTATAATGACTAAAACACACTAAAAACTAAGTAATAAAACACTAAGAGATATAAAATATACACTTATCAACCATTATAATATTAAAAATTTTGTTTTAGTTCAACTCTTGAAAGTGATTAAATAGAGTGGCATCACTATTTAATGAAATCTTAGATAAATTACTTTTTGCCTCTCTGTAGTTTGGTGTTTTACCATATAACCTCTTGTTACTGGCCACCTCACTTGAAGCCAATAAGAGTGCGAACCGTAATGCTAACAACTCAGTAAGAGTCGCTCCGCGAAGTAAACGAGTAGTATGTTTGTAACGACCCCAACTCCTCTTAGGACGTATTCAAGGGTTTAGCGGACCGCTTGTCCAACTTTCGTCAGAACTCATTCACTAACATTTCCAAATCAATAACACTAAAATCCATTAATATAACATTTACATGTCACAATCAATATTCAAGCCAAAGTATAATCCAAAGAAGAAGAGTTTAAACAATTGGTATCATACTACAGTGTCGGCCAAATACAAGTTCAACATATCCTATTACAAACCATTACTATTCTTGTCTCTCTCATCCTTGCACCCTATTAAGGAAGACAAATAATGAGATGAGTTAAAAGTCTATTGAGATTCCAAGAACACATGTAGTCAAATTGGCAAGATATTAATCATATATCTCAAAATCTTAAAGTGGAGAAAGTAAGAAATAATAAGTGAAATCATTAACAGTTCATATGTTCAAATAAACAATTTAACCAGTAAGAAAAAGATACGGTACTGATATAGTAGCTCCGGCCAGGATCTGGATAGAGTACCAAGGATTCAAATGTTGATACAACTGATACGGTAGCTCCTGCCAGATTCCAGGCGTAGCACTTAGTCCCGTGTAGTATTTCACGTGCAGCCAGTCTAGCAATAGCATTTTTCGAGTCTGTTGACACTCTATCAACCTTTGAAATATAATAATATCCGTAAATCACTGTTTTACTCAATCTCTGTCCACCGTTCAATCCGCTACCGGGCCCGAATACCAAACAGTAATAGTGGTGGTAATACTCGAGTGTACCGATTTCAGTGGACCATATCCAGTGGATCAACAGTAATCAGTGGAGAATCAGTATTCAGTGGAATAAACAGTATACAGTATCCATAGCTCACTAATCTCCTCGATCAAGCCCTTGTTGGATCGATTCGACCAACTAGCCAGTAGAGTTTCAGATCCCAAGCAGTGAGTATAGTCGATGAGATAATATCTTCAACCGACTTTCAAGTCATGCACACTTATATCAGTTCACTTGCAAACAGTGCACTTATAAATAGGCTATCAAGAGTTTAGTTAAGTTAGGTCGAGTGGGATAAAGTACACACTTGTCTATGCAATAATAAGCCAATTCAAGCAACAAGTCATATTTAAGCAACAAGTAGTATGGAACATGCAGTTGGAATACTCACCAATTGATCACAACCTTTTTACTTCAAACCATGGTTCTTTCACTTGGTCACTCTTGAGTCTTGTGGTCATATAACCTATCAAGAGTCTAGCCATTTCATGACAATATCAATGCAAACTATGAATTTCGAAGTTTCACTTAGCCAATAAATCAATTTACAAGTTTAACTCCCATATAACTTTCAAAAGTGTGCAGTTTTCTTGTTCAAATCCAGAGGAGAAACTTCATGCATGATTGATCAATGTGGCAAGTATGATATGGTGCAAGAACATGTCGCTTATAGCCAAGACTTGTGAAGAAAACGGAACAAGAATATCAAGGTTCAAAGTTAGTTCAAGTAATTAGATTAATGACTACCTTCTTACCTAGCCATACTCAAGTACAATTTTAAAAATGCCACATTATTCCAAGCCACAACATTTTAAGGAAATTACTTCCAAGTCAACTAAGTAATCTCACCCCAAATTATATAGTTTCCAATTCAATTCAAAGGCAAAATTCATGTATATTTTAGGTCAATGATTCAAGTAAAAGATAGTGCGAAAATATCTCCTTTCCATCCATGAATTTGAGTTTAAAATTGTTCAAAATAGTTTGGTTGTTAGGCGAGAAATTCAACACTTGGAACAAGAAAAAATGAGGTTGTTACCTCCTAAAACCTATCATTTTTTCCACTCTCATGCTAGGATTATAGTATAATCAAGTATTTAGGGCATTAACAAGATAATTTCACCATACAAAATCAAGAGAAAAGCTCAACACAATTGCTCTCTCTGTCTCTCTCAACCAACTTTGAACAAATTTCCAACTTTGGTGACATTCTTTGAAAAGGTATAACTTGAGTTCCATAAGTCGAAAAATCACAAAATTTACACCTTTAGAAAATAGACTCGAAACATTAATAGGTTTAGAAGACACTTCATGAAATTCAACTCATAGATTAGTCAAATTTCAGGTTATATATCACTACTATCACAAGTGCAAAAACAGAATAGTCATGATTTTCAAGAAAATTTGCAATTTTTTTGGTCTTTATAGAAATTGAACCAACCTTGAATTTTATACCATTGGAATTTCTATGAGTCTAGTTTCAAACGCAACAAATGGAACTCAATTCTGACTTTTCTATATAAAGTTATAACCAATTTTCCAAAGCTGACAAAGCTTCCTGTGAAAATTTTCAGATTGCTAATAATGTAAGAAAATGCAACTTTCACTAACAAAACTTCATTCCGTTGACTCAAGTTCAACATAAACTTATAGTATAAAGTCTTATAGAGTGTTTTGAGTAAAATTGAACTTAAAATCATCATAAAAGTTTGGAATTCAAGTCTGAAAATTAAACCCCTGTTCTCGGCCAGCTTGCTCACGATTTCTCAATTATTTTTCCAAACATTCCTTCAACTAATTTCCCAAAATTTCAAGCAAACCTAGCTAACGCATCCATAAAAGTTTATTACCAACATAACCCTAGGTATCTATAGTCAAAATCTTAACAAGAAAGCTATCATAAGTGCATCCAAACCCTAAGAATTCAAGTATAAAGTTCAAGGTTCATTGACTTGAAATAACTTCAAGATTCACCATAAGTTTCACCACAAAATTCACAAGATTCACCTATCTTACACTGAAGACAAAGAAAGAAGGATGATCTAATATTTTTACCTCTTTTTCTTTCTAAACCTAGATGAAACTCAACCCACAATCCACCAACTCTTCTTCCCTTCCAAGCTCAAGCCACGTTTGATGGACAAACCAAGTTCTCTCCTTCTTTTTCCCACAAAACCTAAGCAAAATGGAAGCTAGATTGGATGAACTTTTCCTTTCTTTTTTTCTCCCTCAAGGTTCGCCCCCCTCTCTCTCTCTTTTCTCTTGTGCTTTTCCTCCAAATTCATAACTTAACTTCATGGCAAAACAACTCTAATCAAGGCCACAAGTTAGAAGATATAAGGGGTACTTGTTCGAGGCTACAAAAGCTAACCAAATTGGACATATACCTAGCTCATATTTAACCATACCAAAGTTGGAAATTTGAACATTAAGTTAAAATTTACAAAACAAAAACTGAAAATTCCTATAGTGAAGCCAAAAATGCATAGACAAGCTGGAAAATCCTCATGGCAAGACTAAAAGGACATAGCAAAGCTGGAAATAACATTTCAAGGCAGGAAATTCTCAATCAAAGCTGGAAATTGTAAACTACTTCACAAAACTATGAAATTCTCCATGAAACCTACCATAATCAAGTTATAAATCCATTCAAATGCAAGATAAAAGAGAAAAGATAGTTTCTTGACATGAATACCTTCAAACCCTAAGGAGAAATGCAAACAAGAGCTTTCTTTTCCCCTAAATCACTCCACACAAGCTTCCCTCCTTCCTTGATGCAACTTCCTACAGATTGGATTAGGGTTTTAGGTTGGATTTCCCACAAAATCAAGCAAGATTTCAAGGTAAATTTTGAAGGTTTCTTTCTCTCTTTTCTCTCTATAATTTCGGCCAAAGGGGATAAGAAAAGAAAGGTTTTTTGTGGTGAAAGGGAAGCTTAATCCAAGATAAATATATGACTAGTCTTAGTCTAAAGTTGAATGGATGATTACCACTTGTCAAGAAAGTAACTCAAGTCTATCTCTTTGTCTTTCTTGTGTATCTAATAACCAATCTATCTTGTGTTCCTTTAATTCACTCTTAACACTTCCAATCACATAATTCCTTTAGTATCACACCTATTCTCGTCCACCAAATTTGTTACACATATCTCACTAGTCGGTTACACTAGTTTAATGTACTACGAAACTTAATATGTACCAAATTATAAAAGGGAAAAGATAGAAATCTTGACTCAACCATTAAAGTCACCATGAAATTAAGGCAAGTAAACTACGATAAAAGAAAATATAAATTAATTTTTTTTTCAAAAATAAGAAAAAATATAAAATAATTTTCGAATTCTCACAACATTGCATTCACACTTAAAGCATATAGCAAAGTAAATGCAATAAATGCTTTAGAGGCATAGTGGAATAAAAGAAAGTAGTACTTGTATTGAGAACAAAAAAAAATTACAATAGTTCTCAACCGAATGTGTATAAGTACTATTGTCCAAAAGTAATACCTAATAGAAAAATTAGGACTAGTAGTAGAATTGCATTAGACTACCTATCTACATATGTACAACAAGACTAAAGGGAAATGGAAATTGACATGGACTAGTAAGTAAGAATTATATGTCTGGACTCTGTAATTTAGTGCTCGTCATCGTGGCAAAGGTTGACATCCATCTCCCATGTACTGGCTGCATGCATTGAGCGGGCGTGTGGCTTGCAGTGTGTTGGTCCCTGAACTGTGCTGTTTGTCCTGAGGTAGTGCGGATGCAAAGCGTGTAACACCCCCTCCCCCATGGTTTAAAAA